AATAACTCCACCATTTTTCATCCAATCTTCATGAAATTTTCACAGAATGAAGAGAAGGGGTAATACTAAAAATTTGTCTGTTGAATTTTTGATATATGGAATAGACTTTTGTTGTTGGTGTCTGGAGTGTGGATTTTCAAGGATTTTTCGCACACTTGAATGCTACTTCAGGAAAAAATTCATTAAAAATTTTCTAATTCGATTAGGAAAAAAACAACATACAAAGTTTTAGATCTAATGTTTGTGAACACGCATGCAAAAAAACAACAATCAATTTCCATTAGCAATAAGTGTGGTATTCATTACGTAAGACATGTCAATAAAATCCAATACGGCGGCGTATCCATGGAAACGAAACTTTTTTCTCAAATTTGATTGCGGATTTTAAGACCCCTTACTATGCTTGTTATATGTGTAAAATTTGGTAAAATTCGGTCCAGTAATAAGCGAGGTAGCCTCCAGGTGTAGCCCCCCCTTAATGCTACTCCTTTCATGTGGTAACACCTCTAATCTGTGGCATTTACATGACCTATTTGTGTTGCAGCAAGTGCCGTAAAACTCTTTCTAAAACAAACGAACAAACCAACCAACCAACCAACAAACAAGTTTTTACCACAGAAGTACGAAGGTGCCTGCGTGTAACTCTTCATTCGACAGCTGACCGACAAAGGTGCAGGCGGACATGATGAACACACAACTCCCGTCTCTGTTGATGGTTGAAGCGAAGGGCACAACGAAGCGAGTGATTCTCTTGTCAAGACCGCTGTTTATCTCCAATGTCGATAGTGTCTCTGGAATAGCTACAGCTCTGCATGTTTCGTTGTTGTCATCATCATCATCGTCACCATCGTCGTCGTCGTCGTTGTTGTTGTTGTTGTTGTTGTTGTTGTCATCATCGTTGTTGTTGTTGTCATCATCATCGTCGTCATTGTTGTTGTTGGTGGTGGTGGTGATAAATAAGACATAAGGTATGAGACAGATGTAAAACAAAATTTCTTCAGTGTTGACAATTCCTCTTGGATAGCTACAGCTCTGTGGGTTTCATTATAGTAATTGTCATCGTCATCATCATGGTCATCGTCATCGTCTATCATCGTCATCGTCGTTTAGTCGGTGGTGATAGATAAGATATAAGATACAAGATATATTATTATGAGATAGATGTAAATTCTTTAGTGTCGACAATGTCTCCTGGATAGCAACAGCTCGGTGGCAGTCAGTGGGTTTCGTTATTGTCGTCATCATCGTCATCGTCTTTGTCGTCGTTTTTGTTATAGTCGGTGGTGATAGAAAAGATATAAGATATGATATGAGACAGAAGTAAAACGTTTAATTTGTATCGACAAGGTCCCTGGGATAGCTACACCTCTATGGGTTTTGTTATGGTCATCATCATCGTCATCGTTGTGGTTGTAATCGATGGTGATAGATGAGATGTAAGTTCGATATAAAAATATTTTCTTCAGTGTTGACAATATCTCTGGGATAGCTACAGCTCTGCGTGTTTTAATACTGTCGTCATCATCGTCATCGTCGTTTAGTTGGTGGTCATGGATAAGATATAAGATAGATGTAAAACATTTCTATAGTATCGACAATGTCTCTGGGATAGCTACGGCTCTGGGGGTTTCGTTATTGTCATTATCATCGTCGTCGTTGTTGTTGTTGTCGGTGGTGATAGATACGATATAAATATGAAATAGATATAAAACATTTCTTTAGTGTCGATTATGTCTCTGGCATAGCTACAACGCTGTTGGTTTCGTTATTGTAAACATCATCGTCGTCGTTGTCGTTATTATTGTAGTCGAATGCGATTCATAAGAAATAAGATCGACATAAAATGTTCTCCAGTGTCGACAGTGTCTCCGAGAAAGCCACGGCTCTGCGAGTTGTGTTATCGTCATAATCATCGTTGTAGTTGTTGTTGTTACATTAGGTGGCGATAGATGAAATATAGGATGGACACCAAAAAATTCTTCAAATCGACAGAGTCCCTGGGAAAGCTACGGTTCTGAGGGATTCGCAATAGTCATCGTCATGGTCGTCGTCGACACCGGCGTTGTTGTCGTTGTTATATTCTTCGGCGATAATAGACTGTAAATGATATTAGATACATAATTTAAAAAATGGATATAAAAACTGAAGATATTCGATCCTCTGTATCTGAGAAGAGATGCTTCTAGAGGTAAAAGTAAACTTGCCCCCTCCATTCGGAATTCACTTGACCTTCCACTCAAAGTTGGGGTTTCTACTCTCAGTGGAGCTCACATTTATTGGATAGCCAATAAGTCAAGCTTATTTTAAGAAGAGAAGACTAACCTGTCTAGAAATGGAGCAGAACTATTAATCGGAAAAAGAAATCAAATGTGAGGCTGCGTTGTGAGACCAGGCGCTCGTCAAAATACAGAAATCGAAGAAAAGGGGAAATTTTCCTAAATGCTGGAAATTTTTATCGAATTTTAAATAATATTTTGAGCTCAACCTCTTTTATCTCCCTATAAAAACACATTTCCATGTGAAATTTACTGAAAAACATTGATTAAGGACACAAAATATGTCATTTGTCTGTTTTCAAGGGCTCTTTAGCTATAATCTGGAGTTACCAAACTTTGGCGGCCATTTTCTCCTTAATATTACCACTGAAACCAGGCGACCTTACTTCCTTCAGTCGCAAATATCTTGGGTTTTATTCAAGATAGACGGATGTTTATTTCATTGGAAGCAAGGCAAATAAATTAGCTTTCAGATGGTACTATAACTCCACATGCCCAAAAATTGACGAGCGCCTGATTCCACTGCGTTGTGACACAAATGCTAACGAATAAGAAATAACAGGTCGAATGAGCAGTTAAGAAAAGCAGACCGACATGTTTCATGAAGAGATATTGTTTGAGAAGGAGGTGATGTAGGAAAGGAGGGGGGAGGGGGGGAGTGAATAAAAAAATTGACATTAATTGTCAATTGCGGCAATGTATTTTCCTGCTCAGTAAACACTATGTTTTCTAAAAGGATGATTGTAATATTATTATTGTAAGTGGTTTACACCTCCCCTCGCTGCTCCCCAAAATAGGCGCGCAACACAATTAGCCTCTTCAAGGTGGCAGTAGTGGGTGCTGGCTTCAAAAAGGCTGACAAGAACTTGGCTGTGCTCTGTGAAGTTGTACGCTCAAGAAATCAGTTTGATTCCAACGAGGGGAATTCGAATTTTTCGAATCGATCATCATCATCATCATCATCATCATCATCATCATCATCATCATCATCATCATCATCATCATCATCACCACCATCATCATCATCATCATCATCATCATCATCATCATCATCATAGCCTTTCTCACCCTGTACAGCTGGTATAGGCCACGGACAAACCCTCTCCACCTTTATTTATTCTGGGCTAGCCTTTTGATGTTATTCCACGTCTACTCACTTTTCAGTACATCAGTTTCTGTTTTTAAAAAATATTATCTCTGTGTCTTTTTTTGTCCTGACGCTGGGAGGTTGACTCCGCCCAATCCGGGTTGTTTTATGACAAGCAGGGTCGAAACAACCCGCCTCCTTATTCAGCAAAATTATGTTGATGGGAACATATGTCATCTACTCTACAATCGGTCAAAATGTTATTTTTTTTCATTTTTGCCGTCTTTCTTTCTTCTTTTCTCTCCTCTCAGTTCTCTTACTTACGAGCTGGCAGCAGCAAAACTGACGAGCCACGGGCGACCGAGAGAGAGCAAGAAGCGGTACGGGTTTTCCCGCACCAGCACAAAGTAAACGATAGGCACCAGAACGATCTGGTGAATGGCGAGGCCCGCCAGCACAGTCAGAGAGAACATGCCAAGGGAGCGCACCGCGCTGTCCAGATCTGACGTCTGCAAGAACGCCGTGGCGATGAGGGAGGCAACTCCTACTGGTGTGAACCTGGAGGGAGGAAAAGATACCACAGTACAGTCGAAATTGTCCACAACGGCCGCTTTTTGTCCGGGAGAAAAGTGGTTGTTTTTTTATTGTTTTGTTTTGGTATGTGATGTATGGCGCTCACAACTGCATAAGGTCATATGAGCGCGCGGGACACCTAATACTTTTAGTTGGTAGGAAATTTTGAATTTTGCTCGGGGCGGCCGAAGCCTACTCTTATCGATTTTAGACCACCAAAGGATCTTTAACGTGCGCAACTTGCACACGGGACCTCCGAGATTTTCGCCCTTGTCCGAGAAGGCTAGGTGTAGATCTTTCCTACCAGAAGATCAGGGGTGTGGCAGAAAGACCACTGTAAGGAGTCAAGGAGTATCAGTAAAAAGGCTGCAGAAAGAGTCAGGAGCCCAGAGGAGGGGGCAAAGGAGGTGAGGGAGTGGGGGCAGAAAGAGGAGACGAAAGCAGACGACAGAATGTTGCTAGAGAGCAGGAAAGGAGGTGAAAGGAGACAATTTTAGAGAAGAAAATGTTTTGGTCGCTATCCGGATTCGAACCCGGGACCTTTGAATGAGAGGCCAACACCTTAACCTCTAGGCCACGAGAGCCCACGTATTGGTTTTGGACAGGTGGACGCCTTGGACAGTATCATTCATCATCGTCATCATCACCCAGTGCCAGATCTGCGGCAGACATCGGCGATCATGGTTCTCCATTTATACCTTGCTTGGATGCTCTTAAAAAAGCTACGTTACCCTGATCTTTCCCCGATACCCATTTTGTTTAGGTTCCCTAAATAGGTTGCTCTGAGCCTACCCCTTACTCGTTTGCCATCAGTTTTGCCAGTGAGGCCAAGATGTTCAAGACCTTTAGGTCTATTCAGGGGTCCCAAAAAACTGCATTTGTCGTTTCCTGATTGTTTTTAACAGTGAGAGTCCCACGTGGGGTTAATCAAGTACTCTTGCTCATTTGGTTTCTTTCCTTTTTCACGATATTCTCAGTAGGCTCCTAAGAAACCACTTCTTAGTTGCTTCATTATGATGAAAAAACAATATATAAAAAAGTCAACATAGGGCCAGGCGTGGGAAGTGGGCTATTGTACAGGTGATTGTTTTGGACAAATGACCGTCAGCAGCAGGTTCGACATACCTTGGTTCTGTTTCATGACTACCTCATTTCTTTTAAACTCTTCTATTTTTTAAAATGTAAATGCACCGGTGGAGATGCGAAAGGCAGGGTTGGGGGTTGTGTGTGTACGAGTGAAAACCTGCATTTTAAGACAAACATGAAAAAGTTTATGGAGATAACATCGTGCGTGTGTGTACGTGTGTGTGTGTGTGTGTGTGTGTGTGTGTGTATGTGTGTGTGTGTGTGTGTGTGTGTGTGTGTGTGTGTGTTTGGGTGTGTGTGCGCCCGCG